TCTTGCTCATAAAATGTTCCCTGTAATATTTCTTTTAACCTGTAAAAAGGGGGGTCCCTTGACACGCATTCCTTTACAGTGAAATATTCATCAGTATAATTTTGCTCATAACCTTTTTGAAATTCTTACAGTATCGTCCACCTTATATTTAAAACAAATTACTCTTTTGTCTTTTGTTTTATACAAGTTGTTAAATACGATATCTTCATTGTCTTTTGTTACCTCAATCGGTTTCATTTTAAAACTACGATGATAACTATGATTGTAGGTGACTAAATCCTGCAATATATCTACGTATCGTTTAGAATGATTGGCTGTTAAATAACGCCACATTTTAGATTTCACAGTCCTTTTTAAGCGCTCTACTACAGATGCCTTAGTCTCATTTGATGTGGTAAAGTGAATGATACTATTCATTTTCATTAACACCTCGAAATCTTTGTTTAAGAACTCTGCACTCACACGTTGGCACCGACCCAAGACGTACTTTTGAGCATCAGCAAAATTTTTGTTCTTTTGTTGCTTCTGCGTAATTTCTCTTATGTCCTTTTATATAAAAGAAGGGTAGGGTCAATGCATGTGTGAGGTTGCTTTTTGCTACAGTATGTCGTATAAATAACAAGCTAAGGTTACCTGTATAATACTGCTAGTGTTAGATGATGTGGCCTTATTGCAACAGTCCAGAGTGTCCAAACAGACACCCTAAAATGGTTTGACCCTGTTCTTGTCCTCTTCTGATTTTTCTGCAGGAATGAGAAATGTTAAATTTCTTTTCCCCAGTTCTTTGCCATAGTCATCCACCCATTGACGACATCTTCCTGGAGTAATGGAAAATATTTAGGGCTGCTTGATAGACTGTCACCCGCTGCATATGTCCTCGTTGTTGTGGTGGCAGCCTGGCTGATGGTGAGTGTCCTGTTCATTCCCCCTTTTTTTTCTCGCATTATGAGTTTTGCCTCTCTCCCTGTGTCTCCTCCCATCTCCCTGTGTGTGTGCTCTCCCTCTCTCTCCACTCCTGAGCCCGGCTGACAATCCACAATCAACCTCCACCTCTGCTTGCCACAACTGCCAGCAATCAACCTCGTTGCAACCAGTGTTTCAACCCTGGCTCTCCACTCAGTCCATGCTTGATCGTCATCGCTCCTGACTTGGTTCCACTACAATATTCAAGCCTTTTTAATCTCGTCTTGTATCTTGTTCCTCCGTCTCCTGCCTCCCTGTATTAACCCTGCCTGTCTGTCTTCCCCGCCAGGTCCACTCACCTACGTCTCCTCCTCGGTCAGCTGGGCTCGCCTACCTGCCTTCTCCCCCTCGCGTCACCTCCACGGCGCTCCCCCGTGCTCCTCGCCTGTCTGCCGGCCACCACACTCCTTCCCTCCTCGGCCCTCTCGCTCCGCCTGCTCCTCGGTCCTCCACGCCCGCATCTCTCGGTCTCCACCTCTCCTGCTTCTTCAGCCCCTCAACTCTCCTTTTTCCCCCTCAATAAATGAGTTCAAAAACCAGAAGACTCCTACCTGTACAAAACATTTTAATTAGAAAAATGTGACTGTCAGCCCCGTCGTGGAGGTCTTTGAGGTTGTCTGCGGTATTGTTTGTTGGTTTATACCATCTGAATAATTTATCAATGTGCAAGAAGACTTCAAGGGTTCTATCCCATTCCCCCCACTGGACCACAAAGCCGGTGCTAAACCCCGTCTCCTACTCTTTAGATGTGATGGGGTAGCCTTTTTGTTGCTCTGGGGTCCCCATCCTTGCATTTTGAATGGTAGAATCATCCTTGCATGATCTATAAAAGATGTAGGATTCTGGGTCATAGACTTCAAGCTCTGTCTCTCCAGGCACAGACCTGCACCTATGTTTGGTATAAACTCCTTTTGAAGCACTCAAATCTTTACAGACTTTGTTTCTGTCTTTGGCTGAAAAACTAATGTGCGGCGTGCTTTCACGAAGAAAAATTTCTTCAAGCTCTCTTGTATAAAGATGAACTGCTCCATGCTCAAGCAAGAATCCTGACATTGTAAAATCACCTTTTTTATTTTATTTATGTATTTATTTTTATAAAATTTTTTATTAATACATTTTATTATTAATGCATTTTTTCATGTGCACGCCTGTTACGCATAATGCGCGTGCACGTTTTGCGGGAGCACGCATTGCTGGCCTTTATATACTGCTCCTGTCACACATTATTTTACAGTACGCTATAAGCCGTACTTTGTACCAAACATGTTCTTTATGAGACAGTAACCGAACACTATAATCTATAACTATAACCTAATTAGACAAAATACACCTAAATTATGCTGTAATTAGAAACTGAATATAATGTAATATATTATACCAAATTATATTCTAATTAGAAAACATATAGGACGTCCTATTACAAAATTAGACACCATTTTGTCTTAAAAACAAAAAAACAGTGCCATATCAGATCAAACATATCCTACAGTTAGACGCTTTATCGCCATATCCTCTTGCACAGATGCGACTCCAGCAACAGCCTCAGCCTCGTTCCACTATAGTTGTTCTCTGGATCGCCCCCGGCTACTTAGAGATAAAAGCTAGAAATCCAAGCTGAAGTAGCCTGTAGTTCCTCTCTACCCCCAACAACTCCAACTGACGGTGCTGGTGGCAAGAAGAACTAGTTGGCGAAGTCAGCTTACTTGGTCATTATAGCACTATGGAATGTTGCAGACAGCAGTCAAGCTAATTTAGCATTAGTTACACAGCACCTGTCTGAAGACAGTCAAATGGGATTTGTTGAACATTTAAAGCCGAATTTCGTCAATTGGAATTTGCATATAGCCTATAGATGTTTTCAACATAAGCATGATGCATTTTGTTGCAATTAAAAACTACTTAGGTGACCAACAAGTAAGAGAGAGGGGGAGAGAGAAAGGCAGAGGCAGTCAAAAAGATAAAAGTTCTATACTGTAGTCATGATTTGCATTGTCATGGAACCCGCTTAACATTTTAACAAGTGTTTTCCAGGCCTTGGAATAGTATGGAAAAAGGCTTACATGTGCATAGAGGATCACATCATCATCAGAATGAAAATGCAAATGCCTATATTTGTGAAATCTCATATTAGAAAAAGTTTTTAGGCTATTAAGGAAGGTTTGTGAGTTACATCTAAAAATGTGGAATGCATTTATTCAATATTTGAAAGCAATACAGAATGCCTGAGAGCGTTTGTGTATTATATTCCATTATATTTTGAATTGTCACTTGGCACCTGAATTTTGTGTTTTCCTTTACACAAATACAGACTTTCACCAAACATTGATGCAAAAAAGGCAGACATTGGTGCATAAAAAGACCCACCGTTTAATATATGACCCCACACCCAAAGCTGAATCGAAACCTACACCCTTGCTTTCTGGCAATGACGGAGTGAGGAGAAAGATGTGTGTGTGGTGCAGGATTTACACAATGCCATGTTCACCCCTGTGAGGGTGACTGGTGCAGGCTCGTTTTACCTCTCTGTTCATGGAGACAAAGGAGTCTTTTGTGGGCCAAAAGCCCCCCAACACCCCTAAACCTCGGAGCATTTAGCCCCCCTCTTACAGCAGCACAAGGGAGGCACAGACAGCAGATTATATGGGCGGGCTTGGCACCAAGAAAAACATCTCTTATACAAAAAATGGCAACACTCCTCTGAACAGAAGGGGGTACTTTCTATGACCAAGACTCAAATACCATGCGAGTGCTGGTCTGAGACTGCACTGGTGTATTGTTTAAGGCTGGGTATTGTACAACAGGAGGATCAAGTTGGTTTTAATGGATGATTTGTAAACCTGTGAATGTTCATTTTTACTTAGGATAAAAACCTAGATAAAACATGCTTACAGGCTGTAACACTGCAGAGGTTCAACCTTTTGGGGCCTAAGGGCCCTTTAAACAAATTTTAGGGTGAGTAGTAATTTACAAGGTAAATTTACACTCTGCTGAAATGTGTCATTTATAGTATTTCTGTTTTTGCTTGCAGTAAGATCAGTTCTACCAATCATAACAAAGGACTTCACACATAGTAACAGCTCAATAACAACTTGCGGAACATCTTATTCTTTGTCTCTCGCTCTCAAGTTTTGCTCACACTGCATGTTCCCAGGTCAATTCAGGTCAAGTTGGAAGACTGCTTTTTACATTACTGTAAAAATGGTTAATATGATTTCCTTAGAGTACTTTAGGAACATGCTTTTGAATCTCTGTGATGTGAATATTTTACATACAGTTTTTATTATTCATTTATGATTGTATTTTTTTCCTTTACCTTTTGAATCATGGTTTATATTCCATTGCATATTATTGTTTCTTCAGTATCTTATATTTTTTTATGTCCTCAGGTCTCCTTTAAAACATTATCTCATTAATATGAGATCTTATTCTCAATGGGACTTATCAGAATTAATAAAGGTTATATATACTCACAGCACCCCGACCACCCACTATATTTTCACAGAAACATTAACATAAAAAATACTCCCAACTCTGAAAAGGGATTGTAGCTAATCTGGATAATCCACAGACATCAGTGGGACAGTTTCTATAGCAACTTCTGGTTCAAAGTAAACAATTATGTGATAGTTTTTGAGTCTCTAGTTTTGTGGTTTGCCCTGCTGAGAGTTTGTCCCCTTCACTCAGCATCAGCTGGCCTTCACTGCACTTCTAAATTCTGAATCTGACTGAAGTGTTATCTTGCAGTGATAATATATTTGCATGTCTCCCAGGTGAAAGTAAAAGAGGAAGACTGCGTGACTGCTGAGTAGACTGCTCAGTGAAGCTAAATTCAGTTATTAGTCACAACCGACAAATAAAAGGCTATTTCTGGAGAATAAGCCTTCAGGGAGACAACTATTTTAGAAATGACTTATACTGACTATCACGCAGAGGACTTATTCACTGGCTGCGACACACTTGAAAATACAGAGGGTTTACTGACTAACCGCAAGAGTAATTTTTTTAGAATAAAAAAGCACCATCTGTCACAGGCTGAGGAGAAACTTCAATGTTTGAAACTACAGAGCTCCTTTAAAACCAGACTCCTCCTTTTGGTCTGCTCTGGCTGTATCACATTACCATCAATAATTTCGACTGTAGCCTATATATCCTTATAGTAGGCTATATTAGATTGGGGATGTACAGAAGCATAGTGTAGGTAAGTTTGTGTCTGTCAGGTAGCTATAGACAAATGCTTCGCTGTCGCCAGAATTGCTGTCTCTTTCTTTCTCTCTCTCTCTCTCTCTCGCTCTCTCTCTCTCTCTACTCATGCCACAGTCTCTCAGCCTCTGTCTGTGTGAACGTGAAAGTCAGCAGGAGGAGTCGAGAGAGCTAGACATATACTGAGAGAGAGGGAGAGAGAAAGGACGGCAAACTGGAACGGGGTCGTGGAGACAGTCGGAGCGGGAGTTTATAGGGGGTTACAGGGAGATGCTGTCACCACTGAGAAGATGGATCAGAGACCAGCCTCTGAGCTCTGGAACCTCGTAAGTCCACTCATGTTCTTTATCTTACCGTTCCTCTTTCAGCCTCAGATCAGAATATCTCAAATTATCATTTCCTGGTAAAAAGCGGACAGCCTGCTGCACACTGTAAGTTTCCACCAAGAACGAGCAGACCAGCAGACAGTTCACAACTTTCAAAAGCTCCATGTCTATGTTCCACTGTGTGTCACCTGACTCAGACTGTCTTGGTTTTTAAATTATTTTATTCCCCTGATAATTCATTCCAACCCAATGGAAAAAATTAGGGTAATTTCCTGTGAAACTAAATTACTGGCAGGAGGTGTCTCAGAGTTAAGTACAGGGAAGTCCAGGTCTAGGCAGCTGGAAGATGAACATGTGATGAGGTGCTCTTTATTCTTAGCTTTCTTGGTTAAACATACAGTTTTCTTAAAAGGAATAAGCTTTATGTGAACAGCACCCAAATCAAAAGGCAAAATCAGCGTCTGCTGGCTAATGCCGGGGTGCTGATATCCTATCAAAGGTTCCAGCCAGTGTGAAATGTTAGCTCATCAGCATCAGATTTCACTCTGCTGCTTGGATCTGATAAGTGTAATAGTATTCCAGGTGATGTGGATGTGGTTGGTGTTGTTGCCTTGAGTCCAGTCCTAGGTCAGACAGGGCTACAGGCTTGAACTAAAAAGTTGGTTTAGCAACATTTCAGGTCTCCTTCATGCCATCTAACACTGGCTGCTATTTTGACACTATAGACTAGTCACTGATATTTTCCCTTTTGTTATAGGATCATCTGTTTATCTAGGCTTACTTGCTAATTAAAGTAAATACTGGCATGTGTAAATATAGCCTGTGTACATCACTGCTGTGTCAGTTCATCTTTTAACCACGCTGATGGTATGTCTCTGGATGGCAGTGTGGGTTGGTTGGATGTTTCGTCCGTCATTCTACCAGACTGAAACAAATGTACAGACATTCATGGTCCCTAGAGGATGAATCATTCTGAGGTGATTCCCTGATATTTTGTCAGGCTGACATTTTCGGTTAAGACTGAAATGTCCCTGAACAGCAACTGGATGGAGGCATTCACATTCCTCACAGTATGAATTATAATAATAGCTATGGAAATGAACATTATACTGTTTTTACATGTGGGTCATTAGATTACAGGTAATTCCACCCCCCTCAATGTTTTTTCTCAGACTTGACCGGCTTTTATTAGCTTGTGCTATTATTTGAGGCTGGTTTATTTGTATATCGTCTTTTATTTGATAATTGGTTTGCTCTACTGATGTAAATGCCTTTGTGTTCTTGTAACTGTTCCAAATCCAGTTGACTGTGTTTGTTTCACATTTTCCACAGGCTTTAAATCAACAGCCTAGTGTTTAGTTAAGATCATATATGTGATTTCTTTGTTCAGGGTGACCTGGCTGTGAAGATATCTCTTTCCAGGGACAGATTAAAATCTGCGTCAGTCCACAGTGAGTTAGGAGGACACATTGATCTCACACTGGCTGTGCATTTGACTGAGCGCCAGTCCACTGCTGGCAGACAGATGCCTGGAATTCTTAAAAAAGACAGAGTTGCTTACCTCTTACACTTACACACAGAGGTTAAAAGTTCACGTGTGTTTGTGAGGGCTACAGAGGCAGGCCTGGAGGAGCAGCAGTGAGGGCTAAAGCAACATCTGGAGCCCTTCCTGCTGCACAGGCAACCTGTGCCCCCTCCACCATTAAGTGTCAGAATAGGGTATTGTACTTTACATCTCTGCTGACCAGTTTTTGAAGATCATCATAGTTTTGCAATTTTAATTTATTTCTACAGCAGCCCTGAGAGCTCGAAGCACTGCAACTTTAAGTACAATTTTGGTATTTTTAAACCTCGGCCCTACTTTCATACATGTTAGTGTTGAAATGACTCGCTATGATTTTTTCACAAACTGTTATGAATTTTGCCAGAAACTAATCTGAAATCCTGAAATTTCCAAGCTCCCAAAGGTTATTTATTAATGGAAAATTTCTGTACTAGATGTAGGTCCAGCAACATGGACAAAAGCTGTCTATTTACACATAAAATTATGAAACTTTATTTATATTTGTGCGTAAAAAGATTTGAAGCTTCCAGGTATAAACTCTGCAAGCACATTGACATCTGGTGGCTTGTAAAATATATAGCAGGCCTTTTTGGAATGGGCTGGGGGCTGAGGCTACAGTCTAATCAGAGTGGGATGTATGGAAGATTATTTACATTAAACATTATGTCTCGGGATCAAACACTGTCTCTCTGTGCCTTTTGTCCACCAAACAACATCTTCAATCCTGCTTCTTCTTTTTTTCTTTTTAAGCCTGCCCTGCCCTGCAGTATTAGGAGCTGGATACCACGTTCTGCTAGACAGATTTTGCTATAACAAAGTAGTTTTAATTTTGTCATTTTGTCTTTGTTATTATTTATTTAATTATGTATGTGTATATATTTGTTACCAGGATTATTATAGGATTGAATGCGTATGTGAAAGGGTATGCGTAACTTGCGCTTCCAAAATCTTTGCATTGTTTGCTTTGCTTTGCTTGCCTGGATTTAGCTGCGAATGAATAGTCCGCTGAAGTATCCTTATTGTTTTTACGGTTGTGTACGCATAGATAATGAGCTCCACGGACAGCACCTGCCATCAGGGCACTGGGCCAGGTTAGGCTACCTGAATAATTGTTTATACTCTGTTGGTGTGGTACTCGGTTGTTAGTCTTGAGTGATGTTGTGTTGTGAACATTTGGCCAAGCATTAAATAAGAAGTATGTAGGCCTATTTGATACATGCACCACTGCTGCTATGCAAATGTAAAACTTCAAGCGTCTTCTGATTGGGCTTGTGAATGCTTTTTTATTCTCAACCGAGTATTGTACTGTGCACTATAAGCAGCAGGCTTTGTATGCTATTTCGGGTGAGAGAAAGAGAGTGAGAGAGAGAGAGAGTGTACGTGTCAGTAAATGCAACTTTCAGTGTATGTATTGATAACAAATAGTGCGTCTTTAAAGTATGATTCAATTTTGTGTAAAATTATACCCTGCACTGTAATAGCACAATACATTAGATCAGGGCAAACCGTTCGACTGGTAATAACCGTTTGTACAACTTTTAATCGTCAATGGGTTTAGAGTGCACAGTGAAAATTTGTTGATCGGACTAATTCCCTAGGAGGAGTTCGTTAAAGTACAAAGTGTGTAAATCGCCAAAAATGACCATTAAAGAGGCTTTTTGGTACGTCTGGACATGATACACATGATACCATTTTGCCACGCCCATGCACGAAACCCATAAAATGTGAAATTTTTCGCCACTCCTGACTTTTGTGCAAAGTTTGGTGAGTTTTCGAGTATGTTTAGGCCCCCAGAATTGAGGTTACTTTGTAGAAAAAAGAAAAAAGCGTTGAGCGGACCCTTGGACGTGTAGCGTGTCGAGGTGTGAGGTGGCCACTTTGCAGATTCTGGAGCTCTGATATTGTGACTGTAAATTTGCCGCGGGCTTCGGTCGCTGCACAAACGTGTTAATCATCACTTCCTGTGTCCCCTTTGTGGCGCTACATAGCACTTCGTGCTACGACTATAACTGAACATGTAGTGTTCGGGGCAGGACTGTTATCAAGCGCATAAAGTTTAGTGCAGATATGAGCATGTACACTGAAGTTACAACAACTTGCTCTTTCATGGCAAATCATCGATTTTGGACGCCAAGCCATGGGCACGCCGTTTCATGAAAAGTCACCATTTGTACAACTTTTAATCGTCAATGGCTTTAGAGTAGAAAGGGAAAATCTGACGTTGGTCAGAGTAATTCTCTAGGAGGAGTTCGTTAAATTATGAAGTGTGTAAAAAATCCAAAAATTACCATAAAATTCAAAACGGCCGACTTCCTGTTGGGTTTAGGGCAACGCTCCAAGAGGCTTTTTTGTACATCTGGATATGATACATGTGCCACAGAAACACATACATGTAGGTAAAATGTGCTGCGGGGGCTGCTTCGTTGAAGGTCACTTCCTGTTGCCAGCAAGTGGCGCTATGACAATGGGTGAATGTTGGGTTGTAGATGTGTTTAGGGCGGGACTCTTATAGTGTATTCCAAAATTGGTGAAGATGTGAGCATGTAGACTGAAGTTATAATAACTTCCTGTTTTATGGCGAATCATCAATTTTGGATGCCACGCCACGGGCACAACGTTCCACGAAAACTCACCGTTCGCACAAATTTTTATCGTCAATGGGTTTAGAGTGCACAGCACAAATCTGAAATCGGTCAGACATGATCCCTAGGAGGAGTTCATTAAAGTACAAAGTGTTGTAAAAAGATTCACAACATAGCATCTTCAATGTCTTCTGAGACTGTTTTGAAGCAGGTGAGGCAAATATGTTGGGATTAGTACATAACAGCGTAAAACTTGATTGAAAATTTCCTGTTGCCAGCAGGTGGCGCAATGACATTGTGTTTTTGTTGGCATATTGATGTGTTCAGGGCAGGACTCTCATTCTACATGTACAGTTTGGTGCAGATCTGAGCATGCATACTGAAGTTATAACAACTTCCTGTTTCACAGCGAATCATCGATTTTTGGACGCCACGCCACGGGCACGCCCAAAAACTCACAGATAGCACAACTTTTCATCATCAATGCCTTTAGAAGGCACAGCAGAAATTTTAAATCGATCGGACTAAATCCCTAGGAGGAGTTCGTTAAAGTACGGAGTGTGTAAATCATCCAAAAATTACCGTAAAAGTCAAAATGGCCGACTTCCTGTTGGGTTTAGAGCATTGCTCCAAGAGGCTTTCTGGTACGTCTGCACATGACACATGTGCCACAGAAATTTCATACATGTAGGTGAAACGTGAGGCGGGGGCTGCTTTGTTAAAGGTGACTTCCGTTTGCCAGCAGGTGGCGCTATGAGTGTGGGTGAATGTCTGCATGTACATGTGTTCAAGACGCAACTCTTATTAAACGTATAAAATTTGGTACAGATTTGAGCATGTACAGTCAAGTTACA